CCGTTAGGTCACAAGCATTATAAGCAGAGATGGATAGTGGCCAGCAGTGGAATCAAGTATACGCATTCCATTCTGTTTGAAACTAGTCAGCTTAATTTATATGCATCCCAGAATTAACGTTCATTAACTAAGTGGAAAACGCAATGGCGTTTGACGTGAACGTCACTGAGTTCAAGACCTATATTAAATACCATCTCTCAGATCAATCAATCAACTAGAACGTAGAACTTCGTACGTAAGTACATCAGTTCAAGTTGCCATACCACATTAGCACACATCCCATAGTAGTAGAGGTAGTTGAAGTATTAGCTGTAATAAGAGATTAGGGATCAAAAATATCATTCGAGAATGATATCCCAGTGGAATCAATTTAAAAAAAGAGAAAACGGTTATGAATCCAAAAAATTGTAATTCAAAATAAGACAATGAATGGATGCATTTAAGCCATTGCAAACGATTTTGAGCCATGTTACTCAAAGTCTCTAACCATCGGTTACCACTGTCTCGTGGAAACCAACCAGGAAATTTAAACTTATCAATATGGATCAGTCCAGTTGTCAGTGGTTTCATGAATTTATGCCATGCTTTAGTTTGGTCTCCCTTAGCTTTATTCCAGCCTACCCCTACATCAACACAACATCGCTCGTCAAGGTAGTCGGTGGTCAGGTATGCTTAACACATGACCCAACCACCTCAAAGGATGAAATCTAAATACTTCATTTATTGATTTGCCATCCTTATCTAGGACCCTTTTCCTAACAAGAGCATTGCTTACTCGGTGGTCCCATGAGCATTGCTCCGAAGACGTGGATGATCAAATGCTAGTAACTTAAGAATATCCTCTACTCCTACTGGCCATGTTTCACAGCCATAAAGTACGACTGAGTGAACTGCTGCACAGTAGACTCGTCCTTTGGTTAGCAAACGGATAACTCGCCTATGCCTTAAGAGACGCAGGTTGGCAAAGGATAATCGAGTTCTTCTGTATCCGCGCTGATATTTCGCCACCAACTCGGTCATCAGCACTGATGAGACTCTCAATCTGACTCTGAGATGCAGGCACGTCCAACTGACAAGTCGTAAATAGGAAGCAGCACACGTCCTAGATTTCGCAGCAAGACACTATCCATCTCTGCTTCTAAAATGTAGCAGTTTTAAACAGACAAACCTCTGTACTGAATCTCGAATTTTTATTTCTTATCAATTCTTCAAAATTATAAGCATTTTCATTAGAACTAAATCGAGACGAAATTTCAAACATATTGATTAAAATACTCGTGTACTAGATTACATCATAAATTTAATCTTTCATCGAAATTTATTTATGCATCATATAATGAATCATGAATTCCATAAAAATATAAGTAAATTACCTACCCTTATATCAATATTTATTAATATGTAAACATTTATTTGTTTATATAAAACTACAATTTTGTCTTTTACTTTAAATATATGAATGAATCATTCACTGTCATACAATATTATTCATTTTCAGTTCCCTTTATATCAACATCGACCTAATCTATGGATAAATAAACTGAAATAGTTAATAGAATAAATAACTAAATAGGCAATAATTAGTGAATAGAGACAGAACTTTATATTTCTTTACTCTATTCAATACATCTTTCAGAAGGCTGAATGAAATAACTGTAAAATTTCTCTCGACTAACATATACACAAAGTCAAAGAGAACGTTTAGAGATTAATTCAGTTTTGAAGTTCACTTTTACTATGAATTGATAACAGCTTCAAAGATTAACTATAGATGTTTCTATTAAGAAGTTGTATCTGGTAAAATTCAGATATGTGAAAAATTGAGATGAACATTACTGACGTAGTGTCTTATTAAAAAGTAACTCAAATAACAAATATCAGTCAATGATTTCTGAAGCAATATTGTCAAATGATGTCTAATATCTGTAGCTCAGGAAAATCATAGTGCAGGTGTTTTATTCTCTGAGCTAGATAATTTAGTTTTCAAGTTCAAAGCATTCGTTAAAGAGAACATCGTCAGCATATTTTCTAGAAAGATAATAGAAATACTAAAACTAAACCATGCAGTTCACAAAACACAGAAATCAAGAAATCACTATTGCTTTTTTATGCTATCTGCAAGACATGAACTTGATTAGATTTCAAGTTGAGTGAGTATATATGACGAAGACGTCACAATAAATGTTCAGTGTTATCTAGGTTTCAACAGATCTTTACTCATAAAACTGAATGTACAACTTTCGAAATTGTTATTAACAGTGGGGCTACAATGACATTCAATGAAATCAATCTGTCAAATTTAAACAAATATATGAACAGTTACTGTAAGGTTCAACGTAAAAAATAACAACCTGTTCAACGTGATGATAAGTATGATATTCAAAATTAACTGATAATTCAATGATGACAATAAAAAAAATCGTCACGGAATGATCATTTGTTAGAATTGTACAAAGTAGTCATTGTAAGGCTCAACGAACTAATTCAAAAAATCAAAGTCAACATACCGTTGAGTTTAAGAATCTTGAATAAGATTACGATAAGAATTTTTGCACATAAATAATTGTGCATGTGGCTAAGACTAGAAAGATGATTTAAGAATATTCAGTACACTACCATGAACTATGGATTATAACAGTCCTGATGTCTAGCATCGTTTTAGATTTAGATGAAAATTATCTGTTAAACTGTATTTGTAGTTTAAGTTTACAGTAATGGTTTTAAAAGAAGTATATGTTACTTTTAACAGTCTTTAAGTGATAAAGTATAGTGACAACTTCAAACGGTTTTCGATTACCTACATATTTCAAGAACAAGTCTTTTAATGAGTTTTATGTATAAACAGAAAGTCGTGAATTGTAGTTGAAAATAATAACCACAATAAATGAAATTAGGGGAGACTGAATTTACATGATTTATTTTGTCATAGGAGCTTGATGAGAATTGTTTAACTTATAATTAACTCTTACCATGGAATAATGAAATTCAATCAAGGCAATTTAAGTAGATCTGTCTTTTTAGTTTTCAACAATTATGTATATAACGTCCATATGTGACGAAAAAAATTTTTTTTCATATTATCAAATGGTACTGAAGTTAAATTATGTCTAAACAAATTGATTTTAAAGCAAAATAAATGCAATAACTTTGGAACTAATTATTTTAAGTTAGTCACTTCTAGTTGAATATTCAACCGAACAATTTTGAGACTATGCTAATTTCTTAATTATGAATGATCAGGTCCTAATATTAACTTGAGGTTTTGGTCACTAGTAGATAAAACGCTTTGAAAATTACCTTAAGATGATGAGACCTAGGGAGAAGTTCATAGAAATCTCGGTATTCAACTAAAGTGGAACTCAAGTGAAATAACTTAGTAATACGGTATAAAAACATGACCTTCGGACACGATGAAACTAATAAGTTGAAAGTTATATTAGACAAACTGTAGGCGATCAAAGTTATCCAGGAATACAAATAATGGGAAAACTGTACTGGAAAAAATTAACAATTACTCACAACAAATAAACAATACCTAGTATAAATAATTACTTGTAAATGTTCAGTAGTAAATTAACTTGACTATTTGAGAAGATATTTGTATAATTTTGAAAAACATTTCTCTGGTGAATTGATCTCAGCAGTTGCTAAATACGTTCAGCTATGAACAGCTATGATACTTTCTGGTTATCAGTAGACTGCAAACTGATTTCACTTTCTAATGAAAACTACTAAACAAAACTATAAGAATCTTTCCAGAAAAAAAACGCTTTGATTAACATGAAATAATCATATTCGAGTATCTCGTCTGAAAAAATAAGAAGAAGAATGTCTTGAACTTATTTTAGAAGAGTAACTAAAAAGTTTTATACAAAATAATAGACTTTTGGAAAACTAGCCTTTTTCATTTACATCACAAAATAATTATTCTAAATAATCTTTTCAGCTTACTGACATTGGTAGCGAAAGCAAGAAACATTATTATTTATTTATTTATTCATGTAAAATGATTTGAAAGACAAGATCTATTGAAATATATTACTTGGAAAATCATAAATTCAAAATGTATAGAATTTATGATTGCCAAAGTTCAATATTATCAAAAATAATAATTATGCATCAAAATAAAATTTCTCCTCTGTAATTTATCAAATCCAACAATAATCATATTTATACTGTTGTTGAATAATTTAGTTTATTGGTTATGAAAAAAACTTTTGATATTTTTAATACAATGAAGTAAGAATAAAAAAAAAAACATTTTGAATTCATATATTTCTTCAGGATTTATATTGTTTCTGTGTGTTTGTGTTAAATGTGTTTGACAGTTTTATTGCATGGAAAATGTGAGAAAAACAAAGTGAATAGTGCAATGATAATGTTAGTTGATGTTAATATTACATCAAATTTTGTTATTGTAGACAAAATACTGAAAGAATTTTAAAATTCACTGTCGTAGACGGTGGACAAATTTAATAAAAACGACAGTATTTTAAAATAAAAATAATAACTGATAATGTTCGAAATCGAATTTCAAATAAAAAATTGTCAATTATCAGGTGATCTTTACAGTCTATCTTGTGAATTCCTAAGAATTGGGGATGTCTGTTGCATAACTGACTCAGTTGAATCAAACTTTTATGATGGAAAATAACTGTGTATGATTCAGTTGTTTATGCAACAAGTTCAACTATTATCCAAAGAGTGGAATTGTGAAGATCTTAGTCAATCTAGTCCATTTATTTAAGTAGATAATTTCATGTTACTTATAAAACTTGAGAGTAGGCTATGAGAATTTGTTTTCATTGGAAAAATTTCATGAATGTAATACTTCTTAATTTATGCTCCTTCAGAGATTTATTAGGTCACAGTGTAAAAGGTATTTCATCTGTTTAGAATTTTACACTTGATTTATTCAATATAATACCACATAGATACTAAATATAAAATATATTTATTTAAGTAAAAGACAAACGTATCTTTCTCTTGTTTTCTACCAGGTCCAATATTTTCTTCGTCAACCAAGTAGAGAATTTGATTTAGACAAACATACAGGCAAATTAACTGTACGGAAAAATATAATCGACATTGGCAAGCATCATTCCAATGAATTATTTGGAAAAGTTTTTAGTTTATTAGATCGTGAACAAAAAGATACTTATGAATTAACAGTATACGCTGAAGATGCTGGTAATCCATCAAGACGTGCAACTACAGTTGTACATATCAGTATATCAGATGTAAATGATCATGCACCAGAATTTCGTTATCCTACACCTCATGGTATTGGAAGTCTATTAAATATATCATGTGCACAATTAGGAAGTCAAATTATAGCTCATGTACATGCAAACGATTCAGACACAGGACGTAATGGCGATATTGAATACAGTATTGTTCGACAAAACAGTAGACAACAATTGCAAAAAGTCAAACGCAATGGAGTTGATAGTGATTTACTAACAGAACTTTCTGAAATTTCAGAAAAAAATGTTTCAAGAGATAAAAATTCCCAGTCAAATCAAACAGTCTTATCTGAAATAAAAGAAACTGCAATTGTTTATGATGGTGTAAATAAAACTATAGCAACGAAAAATGGTTCCAATACAAGACATGTGAAATGGGCTCCATTATCACAAATACTTTTAGGTGGACCTACTGAAGAACATTTTGATATAGATAGTTATAGTGGTCAATTGTTTTTAATTCATCCTGTATTTGATTGCAGTCAATCAGTTGATGTAAAATTATTAATTCAAGCAACTGACGGTGGTCAACCATCAAAATCGTCTACAGCCCAATTGACATTACATATTTATCCGGTGACTATGACAAATGGATTAGACAGTGAGAATAATCTAAATACTTATAGTAATAATGATCATAGTTTTCAGAGTGCTACAGATATTCGAAGTCATTTAGATTTTAATCGACATCTAAGCAGTAATACAAATGCATGGACAGATCACAAAAATTCCAGATCAGTAAATCGAGCTGGATTCAGTGTTTCATCATCTGGTATGACAAGTAATCAGAGAAGCATGAATAATTATCATTGGTCAGCTATTGTTGGTCTCATTGTAGCCATGATTGTCTTAGTACTGTTATTGTGTCTTATGCTGATTATTTTAAGGAAAAGATTTATTATGGATACGAGAAAGCTGCCCGCTAAAGGTATGTGATTATTTATCAGAGTATATACAGTAGTATTATTATTGTTAGCAAATTCGTAATACTTAACTATTTGGCTACATAGCTTGATTAAAAACAGCATAATTCATTCAGCAAGTACAGTATGACGATAAGTGTCTAGCCTGAAAGTACTCTGGTTTCAGGGGGAGCGTGTAGTGCAACGACATGAACACTGATACGAAAATAACAAGAGGAACAAAAAGCGGACGATTCAGTGTGCACATAATATGCACCCATATTTATTACTGACAAAAATCAATAGCAGTCAGTAATAACACAAAAGTAAGATTAAGGTAATCTGATAATCAAACTAGAGGCGTAAAGAACTGGCTTAATATAGTCAATTAAGCAAAAGAAAGTAGAACAAAGACTGAACTTGTAACCCAATTAACGAAAGCTATTTGATTAATCTATTTGTATGTGAAAAAATACAATCGATAATTAATTGAAAAATAGACGCAGTGAAATTACACCCCAAATAATCAACGTATTCTAGCTAGTGATCGATGTGATCCTGAAAAATTTTATCTATCACACACTGACTAGTCTTGACCTAACTTAGTAACAGAGTTATATTAAGAAATGAGAAACGTTACATCAATTTAGCATGGATACCAAAATGATTGACGTAGATGCAGGTATACTAATTTAGTTTATTGATTTTCATAGGAATGTGAAATAATTGTATTTTTGTTTTAAAACTTTCAAACACGATTGAATCTATCAAAAACAACAAAGCAAAAGCAAAATCTTTAGTAATTTTAAATACACAAAACTAAGTTAAATAAATAAAATCTCTACAAGTGATTGAAATCGATTATTTAACATTTATGGTGCTAAGAATAAGTTGAATGTATTTATCCCGTTTTACAAGATACTGACTGCAAAATCATATGAAGTGATGAGTAACGATTGTAAGTCAGCTAAGTTAGTAATTAGTTTGTTTACTAAATTTAGTACTGTAACTGGTATTACTAAACTATTTCGAATAGAATCAATGATTGAAAACTTTGGATGACATTGCTCAGAAGCTGTCTCAATGATCCTATTGGGTGCATTCTTTGTGTTAAAATCATTTGATAGTTTTCATTCAGTGAATTCATTCGCACTTCCCAAATTATATTGTCTTTGCTTAATCTCTTCTACTTCCACTATTTCTACTATTCAGCTATTTTTACTGATAAATTCATTTCGTTGCACTAATATGATATGAAAATTCGTTATCAATGTAAATATAAGACAGGTTCAATGCTGTTTATAACTGACTTGTATACCCATTATCCTATGAACTTACAACCTTAGACTCAGTGCCACAGTTTAATGAATTTCAAGTACTATATATATATATATATATATATATATATATATATATATATATATATATATATATCACTTTTTCGAACTTGAATACAGAGTAAATGAAATTTGTCACAAAGTCAAATCGAAGGCGTATATTTCACTAGTAGACAATCGAACTGTTTCAATAAAGAATCGTTTAGTTGGTTACAAATTCGATTGAATTCATGGTCAAATGTGATCACTAAAATATCCAATATTTCTTCAGTTTATATCGATTTGTAACCACTGTTACTTTCAAGTAATCCAGAGTAGCTTATCTAGTAGATTTTTAATTTATTATGCATGAAAACTGATGTTATTCCACTTTGAAAACTTGAGGACATTTCCATTGAATGCAATAATATCTGAATAAAGATCGAATTCCTGTATAAATTATTTCAATACTTCCTGTAAAGTTTCTACTTCGATAATTTGAAACGACATTGCATTGGATAAAAATGAAAATGCTCCCCAAAACGATATGGTTTAAGTTAAAGAAATCTATAAGTTCTAGTGATCTGAATACTTGTTCCACCGAATTTAAAGGCTCATTAACAGTGATCGTAACTTGGATGGTCGAATAGGGGATTTACAGTCATCATACAGACAGGGTTGTAATTATTAGCATCTTAAAACCTGAATAATAGTTCATCATTTTAGTAACTTCATAAAAAAGTTGCCAAATTCTCTTTTCATAAGTGAAAATATATATACATTCGCCTAAAACTCTGAAAGCTAAAACAAATTCAGATTAATGTATTCAAACTCATTTATTTATTGATATGATCATGGTTTGGTTTGAAAGTTTCAGCAATTATCATTTTTCAAATGAATATAGAACTAAAATATCAGATTCTAACTAAAAACCACTTAAATCTCTTGACATTTTATCAAACTTTAAACATTGTGGTTTTAATTCTTGAACAAAATTACTAGGACCGGAAGAAATATCTTTAGTTAATAGAAAAAAACAACAGGTGTATTTTCACACACTTATTGTATAGATGAGTATTCTTCAGAAGAAGAATAATAATAATACTCAGTAATACAATTCATCATTGAACTTGATAGGATACACAACAGTCGCATCAATTGTTAAATACTATTCAATCACAAAAAAATATAAATTTTAAAATGATTGACTGATAAGTGTATTCTTTTCTTATTCATAAATTAATGGACATAAAATTTTGAATAAAGAAATGGGATTATTATTTTCCATTTGAAATAATATAACTAGTTACAATGGTTATTCCATTTGTTTCATTCTGAATAATAATTTCTAATAATAATAGTAATAACTTCTAAAAAAAACTAGTGACTATAAGTGCTTTGTTTATTTCTTGCTAAAAACAAAAAATTACACTTGAAAATACCATAGATTCCAGCTGACAGTATATTCAGTTTTCATGGAAGTGATTACATTTAGGAATCAACATTTCAAGAACATAATTTCTAGGGTGAAAATTTTTCTACACAAAGATTTTGATGATGATCAGTCAAAGTGATCTGGTTTTTAACGTGCTTTATTTAATAAAATAACTATAAGCTGTTTTGATTATTAATTATCTTATTAATTTTAGCTGAATCGAAAGGGAATATAGATGGAGATAAATATCAAACAGTAAGTATATATATATATATCAAATGAATTTTTCACAGTGTACATGTCAGTAATTATTTCCATATGATATTAATCAGCACACTTTGAAACTAATAAAAGATAATAAATCAGCTCAAATATTCATCTACAAAATTCAAAATTATAATATTCCATGACAATGATAACTAAACATCTTGGAGAACAAGTGACCAATCAATCTAAGATTCTTGTAATTTGACCTACTTAGGGGTCATTATCCAAATTATTTCCTTTTCAAAATCAATATTTATACTGGGACTCGAACATGCTACCTTTCGCACTAAACATCAGTGTATCATCTAACTGGTTGACTGAGTCCGAATAGATACTAGTCTGTTCAATCCTTATGGAATTTACTACTTTCTGTAAAAGTATAGATTTCCGAGTTGTCGGTATTAAGGGTTATATTTGATCAGTTCATAGTTTCAAATCGGCTCCTTGAACTCACAAGAAAATATTAACCCTTACATATAGTTAAAATATACCACCATACACACTATTTTCAAATAGATATTCCACAATCTCAAGAGGTTTTTAAGATTACTTTACCCAATGAAAACATCGAATGATATGAAACCAATAATTGTTTATTCATTAAATTTATTTCAATGGTCATTACATTTATTTAAATAAACGGAGACATAAAAGAGATAATAGGTTTAAAAAGATTTAAAAACACGTTTTGCACTTGTATTGTATCTTCAAACTTATTTATTCATTTAAACACATCAATCTTGGTACAGAGGGGTATCAAAAATAATATCCACCGCTATTAAATTCATACAAACCGTAAGAAGTAACTAGTTACATTGAAGCATCGATAAGCTTTAATATCTTTAGCTTCGTTTGATCGGAGATATAATACTAATCATGAAGTCAAAAAACAACAACTCGCAATTTCAATCCGAAGTCAACTCTGTGTAAGGCTATATTGAAACTTAACAACAATGGCAGATATCCATAATCACTCTGTTAAGTCTGCTACTAGAAATGCTAATACACAATACAACCTTTGATACTGGGACTAGTAGAACCGGTCCTCAGGTTGCAAATCAAAAGCCGAAAGAGAAACAGAAGAAATCTTTATTCCAGTAGGTATCAAAATGTACAGAGAAAACATCGTATTTATAGTTTCGGACAGAGTAAAAAGATTATTAAAACAATTAGATCCGCAATCGACAATGTGGAATCATCTAATCACCACCTTATGTCATCTTGACATTCTAAAATTTCTATCAAACCGTGACTGAATGGAAACTCCTCGGGTTCTTGGGAGCCTTTAGAGGCTTCTGAGAGCTATTTCAACATTATCTTTTTCATGTTGACTTTATAGATGATGAACAAGACTAGAAACTCTGAATGAAGATACAGAACTGTTAAAATTTAGAACTAAATACTGATATATATGAATCATCTTATAATTTATACTAAATAATTTGTCTAAATGTTTTATATGTATATTTTAAACAGATGGTGGGTATGACCATACGTTCAAATGACACAACCCTACAAGATATCTATAATAGAGGTGGTTCACAAATTGGACAACCATTACATGAAGTAGTGAATAATTCTCATTCACATTCAACATTCTCAACTAAAACTTTAAGTCCACATCCTGTTGAAGAATTTAATAGTTCACCAATAGGTACCATGTTATTCGATACACATCATCAACCATTAGTTGGAAATAATTTTTTTCGTACTCTACCTATTTCGTCGTCCACTGCAACAGGACTAGTATCACCAACAACAGGTATGGCTTTAAATACTGGAGAAATAGCTTTAATTCACCATGATTCCAAGTCCGTAAATAATCGAAATAATAAAACTACAACTAATATCAATAATGCATGCAATACAGAACAATTGCAATCAATTTACAAAGTACAAAACAGTGAACTTTATGGATATGTTGATACACAACCACGAAAGAAAAATATTATTTTACAAGGTAATTCATCTAAATGAAAGTGTTTTTTTTTCAGGTTAACTTGAATCAAGTACATTTCAATTGCTTTGAAAGATTAAAAATTTCAGTGAAGAGAAAATACCTCATTATCTTTTTTTCCGAATGACACAAAATCTAGGTGCAGGACATTCTACTGATCAAATCCAGCCATTAAAAGAATATGAAAACACCAATTAGGCGTCAACGCACAGTTTTAAGTTTACTGAAACTCTCCAATCATATGTACTTAGAGATAAGAAGTTACGTCTATTAAGATAGATGATGACAGAGTTCAAACGAATTTGAAACTATGGACTGACAATTAATTAGTGTTTTTCGGTACTTTTAATGACTGGATTCAATCAGTAGAATGTTCTGCGCCTAGGTTTTGTGCTATTCAGAAAGGCTAGAAGGGAATGGTACTCCCTGTCGATATGACCACTAAGTTATTCGAATAAATGTTGATCTATCTAGGAGAGATATTTACACTAATAAGTAACCAATACAGTTAATCTAGTCTTGCATAAACTAAGTGAACAAGAATTTTTATATATGAATATATAATAGAAGTCCATTCATTGGCAATGATAATATGAAGAACATATGAACATGGAAAACTTACTAAGCTTAAATGTATAATAAGTCCTGTCGAAACATTTGAATACATCCATCATATTGTTCATCAACCGAAGTGTGAGAAAATTTAACTGATTTAAACTTAATATATCAACATGTTATCAGTTTTGAACATTTTTATCAACATTTTGATTGTAAAGTAATTACTGACAAGATTTATATTAAACAATGAGTAACTTCATAAACACATAATACATTAAGTCGTTTTAGATAGAAATCACAGCACTTTCATAGTTAAATTTATCAAACAAAAATAATATTTCACTCATAAAGGTACACATTAACTAATCTCTAAACATGTATGTCAAAGTAATTTTCATCAACAGTTTATAACAACTTATGATCTACAATCAATCATATATATCTGAACAGATATTTGAAAGTGATCTTTAAGATGAAGTGTGTAATTTTTTTTGAGTTTGATTTAGTCTTAATACACTCATTGTAATGTTCACCATGGAATCGTCTAGCCTATCAAACTGATATCAGCTGGTAAAACATTAAAGACTAAAAATCATTGGGCAGTTGTTTCGTACAGTTTTGTGACTCTTCAACAGTACACGTCTCTATTTTTCTCTATGTGTTAACCGAATCAAACAGAATCTTAAAGTTTGATTTAAAGCATCATATGTTGATAGTAATGATTTAGAACTTAAAAGTCTACACTATGGGTTTACCGAACTAGCGGGCATCGATTCTGATGACCGAAAATATTTTCGCTCAGAATCTAGATAAGACTTCTTAATTTTAAGCGGACACTTTTATAAAACAGTTGGGATCAAAAAATTCTTTCGTCTATTCAAACCAGTAACTGGAAACAATAAAAGGGTATTGAGTCTATTTAAATCCCATGTTTGTACCAGATGAAAAACAACAGATAACAGGAAACATGAACTGTTTGGCATCAAAGCAATCAACAAACATAACAAAGAATATTTATTCAAGTTAACATCAAAACAAGGTTAAAAAATAAATAGACGAGGGGAGTAATAAATCGAGAAGAAAGAGAGACATCTAATCTTCTAGTTTTAGTTGTGATCGAATGACGACAAAGATTGTGCTTAAAACAAACAGAATTACTTAGTGTAAAATAACTAACGGAATAGCTCAGTGAGTGAAATTGAAATTAATATGTTTATCATTTTTAATACGATTAAGTTATAGTATAAACTTAAGCTTACAAATTTATAATTTGTTAGCTGAACACTTAAACATTAAGGAGCATATTGAAGTTATACACTGAATTGTATTAGATTTCTAGTAAAACAATCGTCATTAACAACGATAAACCTTATACTCCTTTTTTCAAATATTTTTCTTTATGAAAGTAATCGAATTTTCTAATAGATTTTTCACTTTCAAATAGGGAATCTCTATCAAACATTACAAACAAAACAATATCAAAACCCACAAAACGTATCATCCTTTAACAGAATCATAACTGAAGATTTTACAAATACTAATAACAATAATAATAATAATTACTTAATTAACAACAGCAATAATAATGATGCAATGAAAAGATCGATGACTCAATATCAGCATCATCATCAGTATAAAAATGGACAGTATACACCATTACTCGAAATGAATAATCAAAGGCACATGTTAGAACGCTTACAATTAATACAAGCATCACAACCGAACTTATGCATTGGTTTTCATGGTGATCGAGATGATAATGATGCTGAGGATGAAGAAGAAGAAGGTGGTGGTGGTAGTAATCACATTGACGATAATATCAATATTAATAATGTTACTGCTAATGACTGTCATTCGTTTGGTCAAATCCACAAGAAAGAACCATTTATATACCAAGAAAGAGCTTTTAGTTTAACCAATTTAATTCCAGAAAAATCAGAAATTATATCTTTCAAAGAATTAGACAGCGATAATAAGAATAAAAATAATAATGAGAATGATGATCACCGAAATAACAATAATATTAATCACATAAATGAATATCAAAAATCGAAAAACTACATGCAATATGAATTGTCTTCACCATCAGTTAATAAACTACGTCTACAACATAGAGAAGGAGAACACCACCAACAGACACAACATGAAGGATTAAAGTTGGTGAATAACAAAATGCATAAATTAAAACAAAATCCTTCAACAACAACACTACCACCAATAAATATGTCAATATCGAATGCAAATCAATACATCACATCAAAACCCATTCAGTCAAAACATGCAACAGATGATATAACAAAAAATTCGAACTCTAATACTACCAGTAATAATAATAATAATAATAACTCATATTGTACTGTTAGTTTTGTTTGATCCGGTCAAATAAGTGCAAATAAATAAACAGTGAGAATAAACAACGAGGAAATGAAAAAAAAATGTAGTAGGCTTTTTTTTAAACACACTATCAATCACTATCAGCATTTTCATATTAACTATTGATTAATAGATCCCTGTGTTACATTTCATAAATATATTCATCTCTGTTTCAATACATCCCTACGACTTTCATGTGTAAATAATTCCAAATGTACACATGTGTACGTACGTATGTGTGACTGCTTAAATCAACTGACGCTGAAAGGATGAGAAATTCTTTTAATTAATATAATTATTGTAAATGTATCGGTGCACGTAAACATAAATGAAATAAGAATATTATATTTAATTATTTTATGTAACAAATAATAACAAGTGTATATAAATGAACTAAATTCATCCCTTCCCTATCTTCATACTTTTGTCTTCATCACTGGATTCTAACAATTTTTTCTCATGTAAACATTGAAGAAAAGTCAAAAAAACAAACACAGACATTACCTCTAGAAAAGAAAAAAATTAGTAAATATATTAATCAAAAAAACAAATAAACAAGGAAAATCATTAATTGACAATCTTTTACGAAAGATTAAGTAACCTCAACATTTTATATATCTTTTTAAGATTTACCAAAAACACAAATAACAGTTAGATGAAAGTGAGGGTGTGTGTGTGTGAAACAGAAGAAATTAGCCAAAAATTTAAGACTTTCTTTTTAGTTTAGTCATTTTGTTGAGTTGATTTCTCTTTGTGTCTTCCTTCAACCGAAATAAATAAACGAGTATACAATTATAAGCATACCTTCTTTGTAAACTTGGTTATTCTAAACATTTTTCGCATATATATACATCAAGTAAAATAGACTAGGCCATATGTATTTTATGCAAAGAACTATCATATCACAAAGATATTCAAGCATAACAATGTACACACCCACACACATACCCAACATTCTGTGAGCATAATGTGCATGACAAATAAATGTCATCATCGATATGCATAATTGTATTCAGATATATTTTTTTATTCCATGGGAATCTGTATTCCTCACGAATATATATATATATATTACCGATTAGCAAAAAAGCACATAAGCACCATCGACCGCATTAGCCACTAGAAAGCAACAAGGCAACAGAGAAGGCGACTTTTCTAAAACAAAAAAAGTAGAATATGATCAAAGATTTTATTGATAATCATGATGATGAGAAACATGAAAATTTTACCAGTACTGTTTACAAATTATCTTTTCCATTGTTATCATCATTATTAAAAATAATTAATATCACTGTTGTCTTTTGTCGTTGTTATTGTATTTATAATTTAGAATTCCGTACAAGATATTTTCACAGAAAAAAAAACATCAAAATGTAATTTTATATATATATATATGAAATATCAATTGAAATGGTGTATGTTTTAATCATTCTGTTTTTTTTTGGTTTATTAAATTAATGATGAATTATCTGGTTAGTTCTCTTTATTTTTCCTAATTTTTTTTTAATTCTTTTCAAAAAATACAAAACCGGATGAGGATATGTTGAAATAAAAACAAGAGAGAGAGAGAGAGAGAAAAAAAATTAACACCAAATGAATAGGAATATTATTCTTTAAAAAAAAGGGAAGAAGACAGTGTATGTGTAAGTGGGCGCAAGTGAAAGAATAAAACATCTTTTTCTGTTGTTTTGTAAAACAAAGTCCAGGGCAGCTGAAGAAACACAAAATATGATTTTTACAAGAAAATTAAATTATATGCTGGAAGGGAATTATAATCAGTAATATAGAAATCTATATATAGATGTATATATATATTTATATATAAAACTAAATAGATAAAACCGGATGGCACGATTATGAAAAAGATTTTTTTTTAAAATAAAAACTTGACTGTTCCAATGAGCTGTATATAATGCAGTAGTATTAAACATAACAACAAAATATAATGTGTTTTTGTTATTGAGTTCGCTTTGGAGGATATTCAATCACTAGGACAATAATCACAATTAAAATAGCCACAATTAAAATGACTACGAATATGCAACAACATCTTCGAGATCTTTGCTACAAGTAAACAAAAGAAGAAAGACAAACAATATACAGGGATAAGTATATGAATTAAATACAGCAAGTCTAACTACAAACAATTTATAGATTTGTGACATTTACACTGCATGGAATGTTGATATTCTTTTTAAAAGATTTTCATCATTAAGTATCAGTTTGTAATTTTCGACCTCTGAAAAATTATACAGCTTTATACATAGTTTCAAGATTAATGTTTCATTAAATTGAAATATCAGAAAAATGAAGTGAACTGTTTATCTTCAGTACAAGATATTACAAAAATTACGTCTAAATCAACGTTAACTGATTCTTTTTGTAGGATATAACTAGATGAAGCTATCCTGACAATAAGATTGGCGTGTAATGCAGAAAAAGATTTGCTAAATATATTGATAAAGAACATTCTCAGTGATCTTGAACACGTGTTCTTAACTTATCAACATACTTAGAGCGTAGAATTAGGGTCCCTATGTCACTAATTTGTCTTTAGTCTTGATAAACCTATAAAGGTTAGAAAAGTGGTTGAATTCATGACTGAACCCTGTAATATATCTCACTGAACAACTAGATCTAACCAAGCTGGAATTTGAGTGATATATATATATATACGTTTAGAATATTTTCTTGATTCGCTTGACCAATGAAAAGCTTTCTTTTCATTCTCAGTATTCTCATTTTATTAGTTGAGTTCACAAATAGGATACTTTTTTATCATTAGCAGATAGGATACCGCGCAACAAAAGCTGACAAGTGGTTTTAGTCAGTCAGCTGAAACGTAGAATATGGTACCTGTGTACGTCAATTCAAGTTACCATGCCACATTAGCACTGACATTTCAAACTGTTGATTTAAATCCTCTATTAGCAGAGGAAAAAGATTAGAGATAGAGAATATGATTTCAGAAAATTCCAACCCGTGAAATCAATAAGAGAAAAACGTTTTGAGGAACTTTGAAGCTTAGGATTTAGGTAAAGAGAAAGAACGGATACATTTACTCCGTTGCAAACGATTTTGAGCCATGTCATTCAAAATCTCTAACGACCGGTTCCCACTTTCTCGCCGGAACTAACCAAATAATTTAAACCTACTAATATGGCTCAATCCAGTTGTCAGTGACTTCAGGGATTTGTGCCATGTTTTAGTTAATCCGCCCATAGCTTTCTTCCAGCCCACTCCAACACTACACAACATTGGTCGTCGAGGTAGTGGCATACGTAACACATGTCCTGAACTCTTTAACTGATGAAGACTCACGATTTCATCGATCGATCTGTCATCCTTACCTAGTACCCTTTTTCCAACAATAGCATTGCTTGCTCAGTTGTCCGAGGATATACGAGCAACGCTTCGAAGACACCTGTGATCGAATACTAGTAACCTACGAATATCCTCTACTCTTATTGACCATGTTTTACAGTCGTAAAGTAGGACGGAGCGAACTGCTGCTCAATAAACTCGTCCCTCGGTTAGCAGACGGATATTTCGCCTGCGCTACAGATGGGGAAAGCTAGCAAAGGCTACTCCAGCCTTCCGTATTCGTGCTAAGTTACCAGACCACCAGGACTAATGAGACTCCCAAGGTAAGTGAAGCGGTCGACACGCTCAACTACTTCACTTCCTATCACTTGTTCATGATTCACCGTCATGTCGCTTACAACCAGATTGCCCTTTCGCTGTAAGATGCGTACGTTATTCTAGTACTGTTCAAACTTATGACGGACATACAAACAAGCAGAGATACGCATAAATCTATTAAATAACAGACCTTTAATCAAGATGTACGATGAGCTAGATATCACTCTAGTTCTATGAGTTATTAAAAAAATATAAACCCTACGATCCATAGTGTCAGAATTTGTCTGGCTATTTTATTCCGCCGGAACGACCTAGATATTCATAAGACTAGTCATAACCATTTGATAGTATATATCTTGTAGGTGAATAGCTTTTATTTAAAACTCCAGTCTTATCAATTTCGCTTTGAGCTAGTGCTTGTTCTTATAGCTTTTAAAATCTTCTTGAATTTATTGAATTGTCTTAAATTCTTTGTGCATGATAAATTTCTTAATAAAAACTACTGATTGGTGATACTCTCTATAGTGGATTTGATACGATTTACGAGACTAAGCCATAGATTCGTCATACGCCTTCAAGAACTAGTAATTCAATTTTCGATATTTGATGAGGTAATAAATAAAAATATTTGGATGTCGACTGAGTGATCTAGAAAAAAAGCTTTCATTGGTAAGGCATAAAGTCACTGGTTCGATTCTCGAGTGCAGAGAAATAAGTCAGCACTGCTGATGAATATCATACTAAGATGACAGGAACGTCCAGTGACTCCAAGCTTTCAGTAGTGATTTAAGTGCACGGCTTCAAGTCTTAAATATTTTTTAATAACATTTGTGTTTTCAACTTACGCGTCTATCAGCAGCCCGCACTAGCTGTGAATGACCGGCTTGTTCATTTGTTAGTGCTATTTCAATGTTATCTTCGATGGAATCGATAGCACTGCGTTGTTCATATACTAGTTCAGAAAGTTGATGGAAAATTGCATTTACATTCACAATATCTTCCTAAAATGAAAAATATTTTTAAAGTGAACAATAAAAACATCGAAAAATATATATAAATAAATAAAATTTAGTAGTTTAATAAAACACACCTACATAAATCTAGCATAGCTACAGAAGATAATATCATGACAATCCTGTGAACAAGATTTATATTTTGCCATAGACATTGATCGGTAGTGGGTCTTAATAGTAACAATGAGAAGATTTAAGCCTTTAAGTATAACTTTGTAATTGATTAATAAATTAGTGGTTACTAGGACCCAGTAGCTCAGTAGATAATGCATTAGCATCTTACGTGATAGGTATTGCGTTTCGAGTTTCAGTTTGAAGGCTAACGTTGATGAGTCCTGAATAAACCAAAAGGCGCATATTGTATTACGCTCCATTAAACAACGTAATATGGTTTCAACAGTCTGTGTTAAGATAACAGACAAGAATAAAGTAACAAACCACATTGTGTGATATTTAATTCATGATAAATAGTAGAAAAGGAGTAGTTCATAACATTTAACAGATGTAATTAGTTTTTATTGTATGCACAAAGTATGATAACGCTGATAATTTGATTTCCGAAATTCATTTCTCAAACTACCAACCTATGATTTTGTGAGAACTATAAATAAGAAACACATGGTCATGATGGTACTAATTCAGAAAGCCTCTATTAATTGAATTGGTAGTAATAGGTAAATTCAGTGCATATTATGCTTTATTTCTAATTGAAGTATCATTAGCCTGGTGAATCACAAATGACATGCAAACGTTAATCGAAAATCAGCAGCTAATAATCAGCTCAGCTCTTTCAATTACACAACAACGCAGGACCTTACATAACTGTGCACAGACCGAGCTGAGAGTTGTTTTACAAAAAGACCATGAGAAATAGAGGCGTTTATTGACAAAATTAATAAGCTATAATTTTTCTACATGAAACAAAACATATTTCAGGTGCTTTGAAGAAAAAATTAAAAGAAATGATAAAGTGAATTATGATTACGCTACTGGAATAAAAGTTAGTAGCATAAAAAAAACAATGCAATTGTTAGGTGGCGTTTTCCAAATCTTACGGATAAGGTAATGATGAATGGGAATTTATTGGGATAATTCTTAATGATGAGCAAAAATTCTATTTTCAATGTCTTGATAATAATCTGAGAAATGATTTACAGTTTGTTAATAATGGTTTACAATACTACAGAGCAAGTATGGTCAGGAGGAAAAATTATTGTGGTCTATTTATTCAGATAGGCCTTGCAGGATCTACTCAATGGAGAAGAAGCAACACTGGAGAACAATTGGAAAGGGATCAAAGAAGTAATCACTTCAACATGTCACGAAGTTCTGGGTCACAAGAAGCACCATCACAAGGATTCGATGTCTGTTGGTTCTCTTGGAAAAATTGAAGAAGGGAGAAACAAGAAGGCAGCAATCAATGTCAGCCGAACAAGAGCAGAGAAAGCTAAGGCACAAGCTGCATAAACAGAAGCAAACAGGGAGGTGAAGAAGAGCATCAGAGCTGAAAAAAGAAAATATGTGGAAGATCTAGCAATGACGGCGGAAAAAGTTGCAAGAGTCAGTCAGTCAGTCAGTTGCAACGTAGAACTTCGTACGTAAGTACATCAGTTCATGTCGCCATACCACATCAGCACAGAGATATAATTGTCAATTCAAATCCAATAGTAGAAGAGGTAGTAAAGGTATTAGAAGTAATCGTAGACGTTAGAATTAGAAGATATTATTCACGAAGTGTGATTCAATGAGATAAGTTTAGAAAGTAAAAGCTAGAGGTGTTGAAGAACTCAGAAGATTAGGATTTGAGAGAACACAAAGAATAAATGCACTGGCGCCATTGCGAACGATTTTGAGCCATGTCATTCAAGGTCTCTAACCATCGATTATTATCATCTCGCGGACCCCAACCAGGTAGTCGACAATTACCGACATGGCTAAGTCCACTCGTCAATGACTTCATGGATTTATGCCATGTTTTGGTCTGGCCGCCCCTAGCTTTCTTCCAACCTATTCCTACACCACACAACAAAGCTCGACGAGGCAGTCGGTGGTTAGGCATACGCAACACGTGTCCCAACCACCTCAACCGATGAAGTTTCACCACTTCATCTATTGATCTGCCATTCTTACCTAGTACCCGTTTCCTAATAACAGCGTTGCTAACTCGGGTGTCCCACGATATACGAGCAATGCTTCGAAGACACCTATGATCGAAAACCAATAACCGTCGAGTATCTTCTACTCTCATTGGCCATGTTTCACAGCCATGAAGTAAGACAGAGCGAACCACTGTGCAGTACACTCGTCCTTTAGTCAGCAAACGGATATCTCGCCTACGCCATAAGTGACGCAGGTTGGCAAAAGCCAATCGAGCCTTCTGTATCCGTGCCGAGATTTCGTCAGTCACCAGGCCATCAGCACTGATGAGACTCCCAAGATAGGTGAAGCGGTCTACACGTTCGACCACTTCACTCCCTATCACTAGTTCAGGTGCCGATGACACCCAGTCTTGAAGCAACATTTTGCATTTCGAGGGGGAAAACCGCATTCCGAACATGCTTGCATTGTTGCTTAGGGTAGTCAGAGGACTCTGCATTTTGTCAGCGTCTTCACCGAATAGAACTATGTCGTCGGCATATTCTAGATCAGTAAGCGACTTTCCTGGTAGAAGGTCAACCCCTGAAAAATCTGACGAGCTTAATGTTAACTCTAAGAGGATGTCTACGACAAAGTTGAACAAGAATGGAGAAAGTGGACATCCCTGACGGACACCACTTGATGTAGAGAATTCCGGTGACAGTTCGCCATAAGCCCTCACTCGACCAGTGGTGTTCGAGTATAGGGCTTGTATAAGGTTAATGTACTTCTGTGGTACACCTTTCAATGACAGACACTGCCACAGAACCTCACGATCCACTGAGTCAAATGCCGCCTTAAGGTCTAGGAAAACAACTATTGTAGGACGCCTAAATGTGTGTCTGTGTTCCAGGACCTGTCGTAGTGTGAAAATGTGGTCTATACAGCCACGTCCAGGTCGAAAACCAGATTGGTTTTCCCGAGTTTGCTCTTCACGAGCTTTCGTTAAGCGTCGAAGTATTATTGAGGCCAATATTTTAGATACTATGTTAGTTAGGCTTATTCCCCTGTGATTGTCACAAGAAGACTTCTGTCCTTTCTTATAGATTGGGACAATCAAGGATTGAGACCAGTCGGATGGGATTGCGTCCAGTTCCCAGATTCTACCTAAGATCTCAGTCAACCTAGCTGATAAAACTGGACCTCCATCCTTAAATATCTCAGGGGTAAGTCTATCAGGACCTGCAGCTCGTCCTCGTTTCAGATTTCCTAACGCTTTCTCAACTTCATTAAGACTAGGGGGACTTAGGTCGATTTGCCATTCAGGATGACTGGAGATCGTGGGCAACCGAAGAGTGGCTCGTGGCCAGTTGAACTGATCCCTAAAGTGTTCTGCCCATCGATCCAGTCTCCTGGATTGAGAATGGATAATAAGACCATCCTTTTCCGAAATAGTCTCACTCACATTCGGGTTCTTAATACCAGTTTCTTTAATAAGGCGGAAAAGTTGTCTACTGTTGCCGATCGCCGCTGCCTTTTCCATCGCTTTTGCTTTCGCCACCCACCACTGCTCGCGATCGTTACGTAGGCTTTTCATAAGTCTGCGCCTAAGTTGACTTCGTTCTTCATCATGCTCAGAGCCAGGTGGGATGAGTTTTCGGGCATCCATCAGATCGGTGGATGCTACTGTTATCCACGGCTTCATCCTAGCCTCATGGTTTGCCTTCCTAGCAGATATCACTGCTGTTTCCACAGCCTTTTTGATATCATTCCATCCTGCTTCCGGATGGGAATCGCTTAAATGGTCGCCTAACTGTCTTTCTAGTTGTTCCTGAAATATATTTTTCGCCTTATTATCATTAAGCAAAACCCTAAGAGGCTTTCTTACGGTGTCTTTCCTACGTCCAGTAAGCTTCAAACAAATACGCGCTCGCACTAGGGCATGATCTGAATCCAAACATGAGCCCCACAACGAGCGACAGTCCTCTATCGAACCCCTCCATCGGTGGCTGATGGCGATGTGATCTAGTTGAGTCCAACGTTGAGACGACTTTGGAGGTCGCCAGGTCAACAGGTGCTTTTCCTTATGCCTAAAGTTAGTGTTTGCTAAGAATAGGCGGTTGCCTGAGCATGCTTGCAACAGACGGTCACCATTGTCTGTTCTCTGAGCCGCGACACCATAACATCCACCTAGGTGTCTCTCCTGCTCACTTAGTCTACCTACTTGAGCATTAAAGTCACCAGCCATTATTACTATATCAGAGCGCCTAGCTTTTTGGAGGAGGTCCGAAAGCTTTCTGTAAAACTCATCTTTAACCTCGTCTGCACTGCATTCAGTGGGGGCATAGGCAGATACGATGAAGAGGCAACGGCGATTGTCCCTATCTTTCCGAGTCCTTACTGTCCCGTTTAGTCGGACAGCGCACAATCGACTATCTATTGGGATCCAGTCAAGGAGAGATTGTTCTGCCCTACGACTCAATGCTATGCCTACGCCAGCAAGACCCCGCGAAGCAGCATCAGGGCTACCGGATACACGAAGAGTAAATCGAGCTGCTTCTTTAGTTTGACATGGTGTGGTCAAGTGTATGACGTGACTCGGATCCTGTATGCGCGTTTCCGAGACGCAGCATACATCGATGGCACGAGATTCTAAAGTCATAGCTAAGGAAGCCTGTTGCCCTATTTGACACAATGTCCGTACATTAAATGCTCCAACATGTAGTCTAGAGCGAGGTTTAAGGAGACCAGGAACGACCTTTCGCGAACTCGTATCGTCTGCATTAGCTGTGCAATGTGATTAATGAATGTAAGAAGAGTTAGTCGTGGAGATAAGAGAGACATTAGGGGGTGTAGGAAGGATTTGATTTTGACCAATTTGGTCTCGCGTGCTGTTATGGGTTGCAAGAGAC